TTTTTTTTTTTTTTTTTTTTTAAATCAGTACTCAATTGTCTAATTTTCTTTAAATAATTAATATCGTTCTTTCAATATAGAAAAATGACTTTTAGAATGTGAAAAAGAACTTGATCGCATGGTATTAAAACTTAAAAACAATAGCAATCGTTAGGCACATATGTGTATATACGTATGTACACATGCATATATGCATGTACGCCTTGTGAGGTTAGTATTAAATATCATAAATAGTGAAATTTACAAGGTACTTAAGAAATACAAGGATTTGGCTTTCATCTATTGTTATTATTCACGATTTGATATTGTTATTGACACCAATTTTAGCCATACGGTTTCCTTTGATAGAGTCTATTATCTTGTTATTGAAATTTTGATTTTACCATACAGTGCTGCATACAGTACCCCTTAGAATTGCCTGCCGTAATTGTTTTTAACAGGTTGTAATATTGCAACCTATATGCCATAATATTACAACTCATATGTCATAATAGTTGGAATTAATTACAGCAGATAACTCTAGTACCCCTGGTCTTTTCAAAATGGCAAAATAAATTATATCTGGGGTACTCTGAAGATGGTATTGATCATGTGAGTTGATCATATAACAAGATCATTAATTTGGATCATGAATGTAATAAATTATTACTTAAATAGTACTGAGATATTTTTCAAAAATATTAGAATTTACAATTGAATAGTATCGTGATACTACTTAAAGGGGATACTTTTCAGAGAGGTATTATTGTATGCAGCACTGTATAGTTAAATAGATTCTGATGCATTTTACTGAATATATTTTTTTGCATCTTATTTTTTATTTACAATATACAGAGGAGTCTTTTATTCATGAATAAGCATTACAAAAAATCAATTGTATTTGATATTCAATTATAATACTAGTGGTTTGATTTTGTATAATCATATATATCTTTTCTTTATTTGAATAGCTTTGACAATAGTTACTCTAATTTTGTAGATTAGATTGGCCATTGTATACAGCACCTGAAGAATTTCATTTTTAAATTGAATAATCCCAATATTATTACCAAATTCAGTGATTTCATTTGTGTAAGAGAAGGATACTTATGTGGCAAGATTTTTGGGAGTATTATATGTAGTGCCTAATTGTAATAGAGAAGTCGAAGCTACTAGGAGCTTTTTGCGAACCTTTGAATATATAAAATCATAAGCCAAACTGGGAAAATGCCATTGATACAAAAATATTTAGTAGCAATCTAGCAGGCCTCATGAATGTAGATAATATTGGCAAAATTCTATTATAAACAAGATTAGTGCGAACAATGTCTTTTCAACAATTGAAGCTCTTACAATTATGAAGTTTAAGTTAATCTAACTTTTGACAAACATGATTCAAATACCGAAACGATTAGTTTGTTTATTGATATTTTATTTATTCATTTATGTTTTTTTTTTCATATATAAATTTGATTTTTTTAAGCAATAAAAAAAAGTTAAATTTAAAAATGGTAATGATAGTTGGAAAAAATATGAAATAGCTATAATCAAAATATCATAAATAACGGATATGTGTTATTTCACCAACAATCACTTCACAGACAACTTAGTTCACCAACAATCAATTCACAGACAAGTTCATTTCACTGACAATTATTTCACTGATAGCTCATTTCACTGACAAGTATTTTTTATAAATTACACTAACCTTAGCTCTAATTCTAACCTGACACTAACAACAATGACCAGAATTATTTTGTTGGCGAAATGTTGTCGGTGAAATAATTGTCGGTGAAATGAACTTGTCGGTTAATTAATTGTCAGTGAACTAAGCTATCAGTAAAGTGATTGTCGGCGAAATGCGCACCACTCTAAATAACAGAGTAAATGATCCCGTAGTAGTAGACTTCTATATACAATACCCTGGTGCAAATTGCAGAATGTACAATGACCAAATGCAATTTGTTTCAATTAGGCTATATAAAGTTAATTAATTGTTTCTCATAACCCGGCTAGGTTAGCTTTTGTAAATCTTTGAAACAAAATTTTATAAGTTATTTACTATAAATACTTTCGGGTGGTTTTTTTAAAAATTTTTATATGGTTTAAATTTTTTAGACAAAGAAAACTTATAAAATTTTTGCGATTTAAAAATTAAAAGTCGGGTGGGCAGGTCACTTTTAGAATTTTATATTATGAGAAACAATTATTTAATTTTGTATAGCTTTATATATACTACCTATTAGAAATGTACTATATTTGGCTCTTTTAGCCAGTTATTTTTAGTGATGAAACTTTAAATTCTCTTTTTAAAATCATTAACTATCAAATGTGCACATAGTATTGAAGACTGGTTAGCAAAGATAAAATCCGCAAATCAATTCCTAACTGAGTTTGGTATCAAAAAAATTTTATTTCACTCGATAATATAGTTCTAGTTACTTAGATAGCTTTTTTTTTAAGCTTATTTTTGAGTAAAACATGTTCGAGTTAGTGCACAAAATTGTAGCATGACATGTCCTGATTTTTTTCTGGCAATATGTATACAAAACAGAATTTTGGATCTGCAGCCGGAGATATTAACAAATATATACCAATATGTATAATAATTGCTATTATTGCTACGTATCGCTATCACAATACATTAATTATATACTATATATCCCAAAAACAAAATTGCAGTTTCAATATAAAAAAAAACTAAATTCGAAAATAACATTACTGTATGCCATATCTATTTTTTATATTATGCTATTCATGGTATATTTTATCCCAATTCATTTCTTTACTTTCCTTTCCTTCTAATGAAATTCTCATAAACGCATCTAAAGTAAATGTAGTTAAAGAGGTACGCAAACAGGTTTTAATTGTATTTTGTTTGAAAAATCCACGTTCACAATCTACACTTGAAAAAGGAATGCTATTAGTAATATGAGCAAGTTTAATTATGTTAGGAAAAATATCAGAATAATCACGAACTAGAAAGGGAAGTAATTCCTGTAAGAAAAATGTTAAAAAATTCGAAAAAATAATATTTTTAAAACCAGGCCATTCTGTTATACACGAATCCACATCAATTAATGGTAAGAATTTTTGACCATTTATAGTCTTTGCTGTTCCATAATGATCAAATAAGATTTGCAATTCATTGTTTCCAAATTCAAATAATTCTTCTTTTTTACGTGACCATTCTACTGGATTCAAAATTCTCATTGCTGCAAGTAAAGGACGATCAGGAAAACGTTCTTTAATTTCTGTAATAATTGTGCTTGCATATTTGTAAATATCTTGAAATAAATCATCAAAATTATGATTATTATATATAAGTAAATGTGTATGATAATTTATGCCTGTTTGCTTATTGAATGGATTTGTATGATCGATAAAAAGTTGAAGATTATAGCCCAGATAATGATTTCGAACATCTAAAGTATCTACGAGATAATCTTTTTGAATGATTGTAGTTGTAGCATCAATTATAGGAATAATATCTTGAAAATAAAGATTACTCTTTTGGAAAAATTTATTTAACGATGCCAAATGACCTAAAATATCAAAAATAAAATGAAAAAATCCCAATAATCGCCAGTTACATAATCGTTGATACAAGTTATTAGCAACCTTATTATTGTCATGTTGAAGTTGTAAAAGAACAGCTGGTAATGTTTTAACAAAATTTTTTACAGCATCATACCAGCCAAGCCATCGTATGTCTTTTAATTTTTTTAAACGTAGCTCAGGACGATCAAGAATTTGTTAATATTCTTGAAGAATATGAACTCGTTTTGCAGAATTTTTATAATATTTGTATACGTCTCTTATAATAGTCTCGGCATTATTGAAATAATCAATTTGCTTTTGTGAATCTTTGCAAGCTAATGCTAAACGATGTGCTATATAATGATTGTAGACAATATACGGACAAATTTGTGATAATTTTTGCGCAACACCATTTTTACATCCAATCATTACAGATGCACCATCTGAAGCAAAAGCTACTAATTTGTCAATAATATCATAACTTTGAAATAGCCGAATTAATTTAGTAGTTATTGTTGTTGCATCGCTTTGGTCAAGTGCTAATAATTGTAAAAAATGTTTTCACATTTCCAGAAATATTTGGATACATTACATATATATCAATATGCTTATTCATAGCAATATCTGTACTTTTGTCGATCATAATTCCAAAAGATACAGCTTCACTAAGCTCTTTCCATATTTCGGCCTTAATTACATTAGATATAGCAAATGCGAATTCACGACCAGATATTTCATTTTCATAAGTAACAGCACCATCTACAATAAATGAAGACTCTAATTCACGGAATAATTGAACCATATATTGAAGTTTAGCTAGTGGTATATCTTGTTGTACAAGAGTATATACAATTTTTGCAATTCCAATTATATGATTTTTATTTTGTTCTGTAAGTTGTTCCAATTCTTTATTAACTGTTTTTTCCAGCAGCATCAAGTCTTATTGCATCTTTATGTTGCTCCGAAGATGCATGTTCTTTTTTCGACCAAAATTTACAGATCCCGTACTTCCAAAAGCGTTTGATTTATTGTAACATTTACAATATTTACAAAACATTCGTTGAGAGATTTTGTCAAATTGAAGCCATCTAAATTCATTAAGCCAAGAATTTTTGAAAGCAGGTTTGGATTTCGTTACAGTCTTTAATTTTTTATTCTTATTAGATAATGTTAATTCTTGGTTACTTTGATCACTTTCATAATCGTATTGGTAACTTTGGTCATTTTCATAATTATAATCGCTTTCATGGTTGTCTTGAATATATTCATGATGATTTTGATTGCTTTGGTTACTTTCGCTTTGATCCATTAGTTAAAAAAAATTTTTTTTAAAAGAACTTATATACATATATAAACTTACGTGCATATTATGTATTAATAACGAAAATTTAATATACCAAATACTACGTATTTTTACGAATATAATTTATTACGAATATAATTTATTACGAATATGATTTATTACGTATATAATTTATTACGTGATAAGTAACGGAAATTTTCCGATTGATAAAAAATTGTGTCGGAATTTGTCAGTCATAACCGGAATTTCCGGCATTTTACAATACAATTTTGTGCTCTGGTTCGAGTGACTGGCTATATCGAAATGATTATTTGGTGTCATGTAATAACTAGGGATGTTAAACCAGTCAGATCTGACCATTTAGGTTTCGAACTACTAGCCTAACCACACAAACTAGTTTAACTAGTTAGTTGCTGATCATTACCAAATCGTAAAACCGGTTCAAAAGAAATCATGAATGACCAATAAAAATAACTTCAATTTAGTGATGTGAATTAAATCTGGAGAATACAGATTACACAAAAAAAATGAATTTACGTATACAGTACATACTATACGACAAATTTTTTATCTTATTTCGTAACTAGAAATAGTTTTTTGTATAATTAGGGCCCCTAATTATATAGTAAAAACTGAAGATCCGGCTTTGAAATTTCTGATCTGCGTTCGTTCACACCTTTTTGAAAACAGCTGTAATTATCATGGGTAATCACAGGACCCTGGATAATTCAAAAAAGGGTACGAGTACTAAATTAGACATGTTTTTATTAAATTAGACCATTTTTTTGGCCAAACTTTTCTAAATTTTGGTCAAATTAAAATTTAATTTTTATTTTGGGCAGAATTTAAAAAAATTTGGGCCAAAAAAGTGGACAAAATATCCGAAAATTTATTATTAACTCAACTCGTACCTCTATTAGTATTATCCGAGGTCCTGTAATCACGGGTAGATCTATGAATTGTAATTTACCGTAAATTTCGGTGCAAGGTACCGGTACCCGGGTATTTTACATTCCACGTAACAACAAACCTTGATTTATACCCCGGGTATATTGTATGGCAGGGGTATATTACATGGGGGTATCTTGTAAGGAGCGTATATTGGCCCATAAGTAAAAAAAATTATTATTAGTAAATCGGCCTTTAATTTGTACCCAGGTCTCTTACAAAAAACCACAACAAATAGCCTTGAATATACCCGGTACAAATCAAGGAGGGTACCTTGCACCGAAATTTACGGTAATCGTGGTAACGCTAATTGGCCGAATTGTGCAGATCATCACGCGGTTCAAGTAGAATCTATTTTTAGCGAATTTCCATGTATTACTGTATTACCTTTTCACACGTTTGCGTTGCTCACTTAATTTCATAATGAGCAGGTCCAAACTTTCTAAATGGTTGAGATCCGGTGTTATCAAGCAAAATATAAAGAGTACACTTAAATCTACCATCGATTCATTGCGTGACGTATGTCCATTAAAGGTCTCTTCTGAGATTATATCCAAATCACTTCACGATATTCTATGTAACGACAAAGTTTTTCGTGAACAGTCAAAAATACACACTAAAATATTTGATTGGTTTAAGAAAAAAAATGAGGAAAAAAATTCCCCCAAACCATCAAGGCCATATGCAGTATTCAAGAAACGAGTTTATTCATCCGCTTTTTTTGGATCAAAAGTGACCAATAATTACAATACTGAACAAACCCGAGAATCATCACCCCCACCCGTCAAGCAGATTTTTTCCTTCAGTGATGAGGAGCAAGGTGCCATTATTGAACCTCTTCTTAATTTGGTTGAAAAAGCACTTAACGAGTTCCTTATCAAGAATGAACATATGATTTCTTCTGAGGTCGTCGAGGGCTTTGCCGCCAAACAGCGTCCACCCATAAATCCAGACTTTAGTAATGCTGACACTCTAAATATGCTTAATTTCATGATCGAAAATATAAAAATTTTTGATAAATCGGTATTCCACGGCCAACATAAATCAGCTCCCGTTAATCTTTTCAAAAATTTTAAGAACAATGTTCGGCATAAAATGGCGCATGGTATCTTAATAGATCAAAAGGTCGATGGAGCGATCACGCACTCCAAAATGTTGCTATTCTTGCGTGTGATGTCGTCACATGTTTAGGTAAGTAATTTATATAATAACATTAATTTTGTATAAAAGTATTGTCTCATTATTTCTTTTGATACCAGGTGGCAACTATAAAGAATTATATGCTATAAAAGAAAGATTGGACAATGCAATTATTGAAAAATGGACGGACAAACCAACTTTAGAAGTCGAAAATAAGAACTATGAGAATCAGATACAATCACCAAAAAGAAAGCATGATGACTCGAATTTTTGTGAAATGTTAAAATTCGTTCGAGATATTTTAAGAGGTCAATGAAACGAAAGAGGGGTTCAAGCAAAAGATAATGAAACTGGCATTAAGGGAAGATGAAGATTTAATCCAGATATGGAGAGCTGTTAAAACAACGGAGTGCAGAAGGAAGCAATCCCATGAATTTATTGATTTTGTGAACCTAGCATTTAACTTAGTGAGTATTAAATTTTAGACTTTTTTGTGTATGATAAATCCTTATGTAAATCAATACACACTATATTTTATTTACAGGACTTAAAGTGCATTGGCACCGAAGTGGAGCAATCGAAATTCTACTCTGATTCGCCTGAAGCAAAACAGGTTATGTATATGGTAACTATAGTCGGTAGCGCGGTGTGTGTGGAATAAGTTCTCGCGCAATTTTCGCTTCCACGTAGGTCGTGGTCGTGATTGCGTAACTTGAGACTTAGAATGACTATATAGTTTGTTCTAGGGATAAAAGTTTCGCTGGTGTTGCCCGAGAATACAAGATATACTCTTAAGACGTAGCTTTTTTAAACTAAGTTTATAAGGGTTATCAAGTTTCTTGATCTTCACTGGACTCGATGGCTTAACGAGGGTAAACCAAAGCTACTTACCCATATTAATTGCCCGCTGACTATTCAGAGCTCATTGTCGTATATTGTTATATGAGTAGTTTCTAACAACCACTTTTTTTTAGGCCGACATATCAAAAAGATGATAAGCAAGAAGATGCTAAAGTTTACGGATAACATCGGAATAGAAAAAAATTATTGCTTGTATTGGATCGTCTCTCACTTTACAATAAATAGGTTGTCTTACTAAACGATGGTCTTACAAAACAAGTGAATTGTAAAATGTTATTCTGCATGACGTGATTATGATATAATAAAATTTGGCCTGAAAAATGTGTACCGTATGGGTGTATCGATTAACGTACGAGTAGCAATCATGGAACAATTGATATGTACAAATTCATGTACTGTACCACAACTAACCATTTTTTTATTCGAATTCTTAACATATGTGGCTATACATTATGGAATATGTAAAAGTTAATACTAAACATGGATCTAAACATTAAGAATCTTGAAATAGATAAAAATCTTCTTAATGTCCACTGAAAGAGTTCTTGAACCTAGATCATTCAGAGGGAAGGTTTATATTGAAATGTAAGTCGCATAATTAAAGTTAATACGTAGATAATGTAACAAAAAAAAATATGCATTATCTGTAATTGGTTGATAATTAGGCAATCTACCTGTGATTACCCATGATCATTAACCAATCAAATTACATAATTTCAAAGAATTCATTGCTCTAATACTATTAGAAAAATGAAAGAAAATGAAAAAACTTCATATAAAAAAAATTTACAAACCAACAAATAAATACAAATTATTTTATCACATATATTTAAAGAATGAATAGATATGCATAAAGATATTTATTATCAATAAACTTTATTAAAAATTTACACAAATATTATCTAAATCTTTAAATACACTATAAAAACCAACTGATTCTAAATATTAAACCCAGTCACTTGCTACTAAAAAGCCTATACTTATTCAAACTTAATTGTTATAAAAGTTTGTTTAAGCTCTAACGTAATAAAGCAGCCAAATAAAAAATTTCCAGTTCACTTACAGCGTAGCTTCGCACAATCAAATATTGTAAACGATAGTATATTTTGTCTTTTGTCAACTAATAAAATTAGTTTTGTCTATATAATCTAACTAATGCCCAATATAATGACTAATTGTGGTCGCTTATTTTAATCCTGATCCATGCATCTCTGCCAGTTCAACGTAAATTCAGGTTGACTGGATCACATCACTAGATTCTACAGATTTGCTAAAATTTTAATACTACACGAACTATGAACAATAGAGTACAAATAACATAAAGTCATATTAAAAATTCTGATTTTTTTGTAACACGGATAATTTGGGTATTTTTTTACAGATGATCGTTATTTTTATTTTCAACAAGAAAAAAATAACATTTTATTTCTAATCATTTTCTATATCTTTTATCAAATCCATAGCAAACCAGGTTTTAAGACAAAGAGAAGCACAAGCTTTTTCTGGTTCTAATCGATTTCTAGTTGGACTAATTGTAAACTTTGCGATGCTAAACATCTGTTCACTTGCTACACTTGTCGCTTGAACCACTAGATAATCACGTGCCATACGAGAAAGTTGAGTCCATTGAGAATCTGTAGATTTAACTTTCCAATAATCAAGAACATCATCTTCTTCAACAGGTAGATCAAGATATTCTTTAAGAATGCTATCATTATTTGTAACAACACCATATGACTTACGAAAATAACTACGTGAAGATTTTGATTTGGTAGTTTCTATTACATACTTATTATTTTTTAATGCGTAGTTATTTTCATAAGTCATAAAAGTTGTATCACGCGCTTTATATTTGTCATCTTCGAATGACATCAACTTGTTGTTTGGATCGAGAACCACAGATTCGTAAAATGTTTCTTTGAGTTCATCCCAATACTTTTCTAATTTTGTTTTCATTTTTTTGTGTAATTCGTTGAAGTGTACTATTTTTGTTTTGAACTTCATTTATTGTACGTATAATAACAGGAAATACCATACGAAGATCTCCAAGAGTCGGATAACTTGATGAGGAAAGTAGATTAGTAGCGTGATAAATTGGTTCAAGTAATTCAACAATCATGTCAAGTTCCTCCCAATCATCGTCAGTTGGATACGTATTTCTGAGCGACGGATTCGATGTAACTAAAATATCGGTAATATCTCGATTCTTACGTAATTTTTCTATCATGGTATATGTTGAATTCCAACGTGTACTAACATCAGATTCAGGAACTAGATAAGGACGTTGTTTCATTTCAAATATTTTTTTTAATTCTTCAAATAATACTTGTGACGAACGTATAGAAGATGTAAATTCTCTAACTTTTTTGATTGATAGTCCAACTTCGTCGAGACCATCTTTAACTATTAGATTTAAAATATGTGCAGCACATCTAACGCGATGAAATAATGTATTTCCATGATTTTCACGTCCAAATACATCCATGTTCGAAGCATTATCTGTAGTTACAGATATAATTTTTTCCCCAAGATCAAAATAATTAATAGTATTATAAACAGTATTTGCTATTGTTTTGCCCGTGTGTCTTTCATGAAGAGGTACCAAATCTAATAATATACGATACATTTTCCATTCATTATCAATCCAATGAAGAGTTATTGACATATATGCTTGATGTGTACATGCCGTCCATATATCAGTAGTGAGAGCTACTTTACTATCATGATTTTTAAAATAATTTTTAAGATTTTCACGTTGTTTTTCATAAAGCTCTTGTATCTTTATGGAAATAGTTTGTCGACTTGGGAGCTTATACCAAGGATTTAATATCCAACTAGGTCATTAAATTCTTCATTTTCAAAATGGCTGTTGATCACATATGATCCATCGTAAAAGCATAGCAACAATTTTATTTGTATCCATTATTATTTCTGTTGATTTAATAGGGGCGGTAATTTGTTCAATTTGTTCCCATTCGTTTTTATGATGTTTCATGAAATGTCCTTTAATTGTACTAACACCTGAACCAATGCTATACGGTTGTTTGCATATATCACAGATAATAGTGTCATTTGTATCCCACGAAAAATAATTCCATACTGGATGATGTGATTTATTCTTTTTTATAGGTCTTGATGATAATTCATTATCAGTATTTGTTTCATCATTTTTTATAATTATTGAATTTTCGGTATTCATTTTTAATATTGTATTGTTATTTATTATTAATCAAGAGAATTAAATTTTATATTTTTATTACGTTATCATTGCGTATTTATCATAATTTATATAAATTCAAGGCTTCTATTATATAATTATTACAATATTTTTCTTCGGAACTATAATTCCAAATAATTATTTTATCGATCCAAAAAAAGAATTACAAATTAATATTTCGTTTATTCTACAACGGCCGAAGATCGTTAAGTAATATCGCGGCCGAAGATCAGTAACGGTAATACTGTAATACGTACGTACGTATTGATATTACGTTAACTATATATAGAAATTTCGTTTTCGATTCGTCATTAACTACTTTGATTTGATGATCATGATTTCACGTGAAAAACCAGGTCGTTTAACTAGTTCGGTCACAAACGATAACGGTCTGGTTTCAGATCCGGTTAAACTAGTTTCAATCAAACCATTTAACATCCCTAGTAATAACTACAGAGTGAAAATCATATTGTGTACGTATAAGTATTTCAACTGTTTTTTTAATTAATTAGTACTGTAGTATAGATAGATACGTATTAAAAACCGGTTAATTAAATATTATAGGCCGTATCATCACTTCTGATACATCTCATTTTATAAAATAAATTAAAAAGTTTATTAATAATATTAAATCTAATGAAGGGGTGTGGCGACCTAGTGAAGTGGTGGGGTTGCTGCACCCCCAAGCGG